GGACACCCCACCAGGACAAGAGGTGTCCTATCCACTATAGAAGGGTCTGACCTTGGCTAGGAGTAAGAATAGGTGCTAAATGGAAGTTCTGTACATCACTATCCAGTGCCGGGTCACAGATACAGTGTGGCCATAGGAGGGCACCTGTGCCTAAAGGCTGTAGCTTAGGACAAGGAGTGGCCATGAGCTTTAGGTGTGTACTGAGCTAGCAGCATGTGCAGAAGCATCTGATCTGCATCAACCTCTTCTCCAACACAAAGTCCAAAGTCAGGAAATAAGGCTGGAAGAATGGACAAACCCATAAAGAGCTGATATGTGACAGCAATGCTCAAGACATATATATAGGAGAAGAGAATGAAAAGCAAAGCCTCAAAGGAAAATTCAGCTTGACAGTACGTTCTAAATAGATATGTGACTTTAATATTAAAGATCACACTATAAAAAAATTACAAGGGAGAAGCTAGATGGCACAGTGGATAGAGCACCAGCCCTGGATTCAGAAGGACCTGAGTTCAAATCTGGCCTCAGACACATAACACTTACTAGCTGTGTGACCCTGGGCAAGTCACTTAACCCCCACTGCCCAATGGAAAAAAAAACCCCAAAAACAAAAATTACAAGAGGAACAGATCATATACTTCTCACACTTATGGTAGGAGATGTATTCTTAAACAAATAAGAGATAAAGGCAATTAAAAGATAAAATAGATAACTTTGATTTCTTGAAACTGAAGAGCTTCTGCATATTCAAAATTAATGCACCTAGCATAAGAAGAGAAGTGGTTAAATGGGAAAAAAATTTTTTTGTATCACATTTCTCTAATAAGGGTTTGGTATCCAAGACATTTAAAGAATTAATAAATACAAATAGTTTTGAAAAGACTAATTGCAAAATATTCATAGCCACATGAAAGAATGCTCCAATCAACATTGAGGTTTCATCTTATACCTGGCTAACTGGCAACAATGACAGAAATGGGAACAGTCAGTGTTGGAGGGGTTGTGGGAAGATAGGCAAACAGAAGCAATTGCTGGCGAAGCTGCGAATCATCAGGACCATTTTGAAAAGCAATTTGGAAATATATGAATAAAGTAACTAAAATATCCATGTCCTTAGATCCAGAGATTTCACTACTGGGCTTATACCCCAAAGCCACTGATAAGAAGAAAGTCCCTGGGGGCAGCTAGGTGGCTTAGTGGAGTCAGGATGACCTGAGTTCAAATGTGGCCTCAGACACTTGACACTTACTATCTGTGTGACCCTGGGCAAGTCACCTAACCTCCATTGTCTCACCAAAAAAAAAAAAGTTTGCAAAGAAGAAAGTCCCTGTATGTACTGTTTACAGCAGCACTATAAACAAACTATGGCTCATGAATGTAATGGAATCTTACTTTGCTGTAAGGAATGAGGAATATGATGGAATACTGAGAAGTATGGAAAGATCTACATGAACTGATGCAGAGTCAAGCAGAGCCAAGACAATGTTACATACAATGACAACAACAACAAAAAGGTTGCTCACACACACACAGTCACACACACACACACATGAATACACACCTTTGTAGAGGTGGGAGGTCCACAAGTGTTGTACCTTTCACATATGTTCATACTAATACTATTTGTTATAAGGGATGGCTCTCTGGGAGATAGAGTAGAAGGGGGAGGGATACTAGCAAAAACTGTGGTGATGTCACAAAAAAATCCAAAAGACATCAGTATTGATTTTAAAAAAAAGCCCACTTTGAGCATAGAATTTGGAACTCAAAACTTTAGATAAAAATGTTTAAAAATTTGGAAAAAAAAAAAGGAAAACAAATGTGATTTAAGCAAGGCCTAGCCAATAACATACTGCTTCCATTTGGAGCCAGGGCACTTTTCCAGCTATGACAGCTCTTTAAACCAAGTATCTCCATGTACTCAATTTTGAATCGGTGCATCAGCATATCAACTTAGTCAAGATTTTAAAAAACAATGAAGTGTATTTAGTCCCATATGTCTTATTTAAAAATTATTACTGGAGCAGTTAGGGGGTGCAGTGAATAGAACATCAGCCCTGGAGTCAGGAAGACATGAATTCAAATCTGGCCTTACACACTAGATGTGTGACCCTGGGCAAGTCACTTAACCCCAACTGTCACAAAAAGAGAAGAAAAAAAAACATTATTATTCGCCACAAGGATTCAGGATTTAGTGAGAGCATTAAGTTTTTATTTTGTATCATTAGTAAAGAAAATAATATTTCATCTTTTTTCTCACCCTTTAAGTATCTATTTTTTTGTGTAGGTTTTATAAAAGTATTTATAAAGGGCTTACAATGGGCAGGTCTTGTGCTAAGTGCTGGAGATGCTAAAACAGACACTGGCCTCAAGGAGCTTCCATTCTAGCAGAGAAAGAGGACACAGTCAGGGGAGCCGGAATGGGGCTCGGAGTAATAGCTATAGTTGTCAGTACCATAGTTTATGTATACAACTTGTAAACGTACTTATGTATTTTATGTGGTTCATTCTAATTTTCAAAGAATGTTCCTTGGGTAAAGTCTTGTACCTGTTTTGCCAAGCTGCTTATTTACTCTCCAATTCTTTCTTCCATAATTCTCTTTTCCAATTTTTTTTCTTATCACTCTAATTTCTTTTCCAATTATTTCCTCTACATATATGGGATGATACACTCAAGCATCTTTTATTGATACGGTTGTGTGACCAAAAATGTTTGGGGATCCTTGCCTTCAGATCCTGCAGCAGTTAATTTCTCCTGTCTCCTCTTCAGCTGAATTTGTCTTAATTTGGTCTTCAGCACTTTCCTATTCTGCTTTACCAGGCTGACCAGAAGTCTCTTTTCATGCTGGGACTCCATTCTTGGCTCAGCTCATGGACTAATTTTTTTTTTCTTTCCCAAGGCTCAGCATGTTACTCTTTTTTTTCTTTATTAATTAATTAATTTTTAGTTTTCAACATTCACTTCCACAAGATTCTGAGTTTCATGGACTAATTCTTAGAGGAAGCTCCTGCAGAGGGTGATCTCTCCTCCCCCACCCAGCTAGTGAGTACTCTCTTCCCACTCAGACTCCCCTGAATCTCCTTGTTTCAAACTTCCAGCAGAGAATGCTCCAGGGATGAGGAGCCCTTTTATCTTTTCCCTCCCTCCCCCATCCTCCTCAGTAGCTGCTAACTACCAGGGTAGCAAGACTTTCAGGAATGCTGGCTGAATAGAGGGGAAGGGATGAGTGGAAAGACTAAAAGGGGAAGGGTTGGGGTGGGTGGTGGGAAGGGGAAGGGTGCAGCAAAGGAGGAAAGGCTGAGGATGTAGAGATTTTGAGGCACTAGAGAAAGAAAGGGAGGGGATGATGGAGCTCAATTCTTTATTACTGGGCCCTAATTTTCCAAAGAGGGTAGGAAGATAGGTTTTCTGCTGACAGAGGAAAGGAGGGGATGCTGCTGGGGCCTCTGGTAGGGAGGAGGCTCGGACCAACGATGTGTGCGCAGCCCCGAGGGCTCAGGGGAGCTCAGAGCACTCAGAGCTGGGGTGTATTCATTGAACCTTGAGGTTGTAACTCCTTCCAGAGGTACTGAAGTCCAGAAGAAGGGTAGGAATGCAGAAGGCAGATAGTGGGGTGGGGGGACCCAGGGCTGAGGGCTGGAGGGGCGTGAACAGCAGCGAGACAAGGATGGACGGAGGACAGGTCAGTGGCGCTGGTCAGCTCTGGGGTCAAGACCCTGACCCTCAGAAAACAGTGAGATCAGAGTCGGGCTGGGTGGACTGGGAGAACCCGAAGGTCACTGCGCAAAGGAGGAATTTGTTTCGGAAGGGGAGGTGCCCGCGAGATGGCTGGCTAAGGGGAGAGGAAGTTCACAGGCCAAGTTCAAGGGGGGAAGGGTAAGATGACTCTAAGGTGTGTGAATGGGCGGGGCGCGCTGGTCACGAGAGCTGGAGAAGAGAATAACCCGGGGGCCGGGATGTTTAAGGGGGCACCCTCGAACGAACACTGAAGCCCCCAAGGCCGCAGTGGGGAGGGTCGCAGAGCTGCTCCATCATCTCGCCTCTGCCGGAGCGTTCCCACGCGGCCGGGAGGCTCCCCAGCTCTGGGCACTTTCCGGAGCATCGCCCATTCCTCCGGAGGGGGAAGCTGAGGCGCGGGGCTGGGGGCAGGGTCACCCAGCTTGGGAGCCCAAGCTCGATCCCCTCCTCCAGCGTCCAGTCCCGGGTGCCCCATACAGAGAAAGTGCCTGAGAAGAAGAGGGAATGAATGAACACAAGAAGGAGGCGCGGCGGAGTTAAAGGGACTACAGGATTTTAGCGGCCCGCACAGCTATAGGCTGAGAACTCGGTTTGGGGCGGGACCAAAGTGGGCCCACGTAAGGAGGAGGCCCAGGAGCTAGGCCTCTAGAGCGTGGGCGCTGCTTTGAATGGAGAGCCGCGGGAGCAGCCTCAGCCAATAGGCCAAAGGCGTCCTTTTACGTCACCCGTTGCTGAGGCTGGAGCCATTCTGCTCCTCCTCCCCCCCTCCTTTTCCTGCAGCCCTGGCCATAGCTCCTAGGGTCGGTGCCGACGCCTCTGCCAAGAACGAGAGTGCCACAGCAGGGGAGGAAGCGAGAGCAGGAGGAGGCTCAGGCGTTGGAGCCTCCTCACCCCGACCTGGTAGTCAAACAGGGTATCTGGCGAAGGCTCGGGCTGCAGAAGAGACTTCAACTTCCAGCAAGCCTCGCGGCCCCTACTTCCGGAGCCCACCCGGGGCGCGCAGCCTGCTGGGAGTTGGAGTCCTGGAGCACTGTAGCATCTTTCCAGGGAAATGTGTTCTCTCCAGGGCCGCGGGCCCACGGGCAGAGGTCAACCGGTCGCCTCTCGCTAGCGGAGCCGCCAGCTCGGCCAGGGTGTTCCCAGTCTACAGATAAGCTGGGCTGCGGAGGGGAGGAACCTGAAGGGGGCGGGGCCTGCGCTGGCCCTTTAAACGCGGAACGGAAGTGGGTGGGCGGGGCCCAGGGCCGCGCTATATAAAGCGGCCCGAGCGACGCGGGCTCTCCAATCTGCCATTTTCTGCTTCGGGAGCCGTGGAACGTCCGGCCCCTGTCTCCCCTTCCCTCCTTTCCTCCCCTCCCCGTCTCTGTCCTCTGCGCCCGCCCGCCTCTGAGAGACCATGGCCACCGAGCCCACGGCGATCGCTGAGCTCGCCCCAGCCGACAAGTGAGTGGGCCAGGGGCGGGAGCGGGGCGGGGTCTGCGCCGGGGTCCGAGCCAGGGGCCAAGGTGGGGGGCGAAGGCGGCCTTCCTTCCCCTCCTTTTCCCTCTCAGGCTTTTCTCTTGGTCGCCCGCCATCTTGCCGGCGCCGCGGCGGTTTCTCCATCTTACCCGCCCGGGTCCCGGGGAGGCCGGTGAGGGGAGGGGGTGCGGGGCACGTGCACGTGCACGCGCATTGCCTCAGTCCCTTGGCCGTTCCGTTCCTAGGGTTTTGGCGCCAAAAGAAAGGTCCCCTCACGAGGAGCGAAGCTGCCCCGGAGGGGGCGGGGCTCCCCAGCGCCTGCGCGGGCGCGTGCTGCCGAGGGGGCGGGGTTTCCTCGCGTCTTAGAGCGCCTGCGCGGGCGCGTGCCGTCGAGGGGGCGGGGCCACCGGGAAGCGGGAAAACTCCCATTGTCTGTGGCGGCCCGAGGGGGCGGCGGGGGGGGTGGTGGTGAGTGCGCCGTGCGCGTGCGCGATCGGGGGCGGAGATGGCGCCGTAGTGCCCAGGTTTCGGGCCCCTTTTCCAAAGATCTGTTGGATCCGACCCGGACAGAACTGCGTGGGTGACCTTCCACTCCCAGCTTTATCTTGTAGTATAGATTTGGGGGGGGGGAGAAGAGAGGCGTCCCCTGGGACCGGGGCTTTGGGCCTCAGGGTCCTCATCTGCGAGATTGGTGTACTAGGGAGCCCCACAGGCCCTGGGGGCACCAGGCGTTGGTCTGGTGGGCTTTGCTGAAGTGCATTTCTGCCTCCTGGTCCCGGCTGCGTGCGGATGGATACGGAGGCCTTGGATCCTCCCTCCGACTCCTGGTCCCGGGGCAAGAGGTCCGAGCGGCCCTCGTCTGATCCTGGGCTGTAGAAGTTAACGGGAGTCTCCTGCGGGGCCCCAGGGAAGCCTTCCCTCCATGCTCCGGGCTGGGCTGAGGTCTCTGCTGCGGCTGCTCTGCTCCTGGAAAAGGGCCCCCGGGCCATGCACCTTGAGGATTGAGGCCCGAGGGAGGGGAGGGGCGCGGTGGGGCCGGCTGAGCCTGGAAGATGAGGCTTGTTTTAGAAAACATTATTTACCGGGCACTCGGGGGGGGGGGGGGGAGGGGCCGGACTAGCCTTTTGTTAAGTAAATGCTTCCTTTGACCCAGGCCCAGGTGCTTAGCTCTGCCCTAGGGATACCAGAAGGCGGTAGGTACTCTTGTGGTCTCTGCCCTCTAGGGGCTTATGGTCTGACTGGAAGTGAGAACTGGGTGTGTGTGGGCGGGAGGTTTGGTGGGGCCACCAGTTAAAAAGAAGAGGTTATATTTGTACGTGGAGGGGAGGGTTGGGTGACATTGTATTAGTGAATATACAGTGGTGAGGAAATTTTGAAAGAGGGGAAGGTGAGGAGCAGGTTAAGATCAAAAGAGGGAACAGGAGAAGTGGTTTTGTCATTGGAGTAGACTACAGACCATCTGAAAGAATGAGAGGCCTGGCAGAGGATGCTGGGAGCCTTCAGCTCTCTGGAGATATGTCTCTTGACCAAAGTAGAGCATAGAGATCCTTTAAAACATCTTTCAAAATATGGAGGCGCCAACAAGGGAAAATGACTTTCTGGATCTGAGGCTGCTAGGGTGGAAAAGATGGAACTGGAGAGTCTATGATAGAGAGGAAAGCTGGGAGCCAAGGTTTTTGGAGAGTAGATTTCAGAAGAAAGGTAATCTCTGAGTAAAATGCCCCAGGGGAAGGAAGTCATTCCAGGAGATCCAACCATAGGAGATGCTGAGGAGTAAAATTCTCCCCAGACAGAATCAGTTCCAATGAGGAGGAAAAGTGAGATTGTCTGAAGAGAGGATACAGATGTAGAGAAGAGGGAACCAAATGAATAGAGTGTATCACAGCCCTCTAAAAATAGAAATACTCAAGTTCAGAAAGAACTGAGGTTGGCAAAGGAAGCCAAGAGCACAAAGGCCTTTTTTGGTCATGTTGGAAGGAAAAAGAGGCTCAAAGAAGGAATGGGACCTTTGTTTGGGGTACATGGGCTGATAATAACTGACAAGTGAGACCACCAAGCTGCTCAGGTCTTGTTTTCTTCATCTTTTGTTGGCAAAGACAAAGTGGAAATGATGGAACCAAAATGACCGAGGGACATTGATAGCCATGATAAGCAAGGATCTAGTCCAGGGGTGGGGAACCTGCACCCCCAAGGCCACATGTGGCCCTCTGGGTCCTCAGGTGTGGCCCTTTGAATCCAAACTTCATAGAACCAATTCCTTTAATAAAAGAATTTATCCTGTAAAACTTGGACTCAAGTCAAAAGGCTTCACCCACAAGGACCTAGAAGGCCACATGTGGCCTCAAGGCCAGAGGTTCCCCACCCCTGAGCCAGTCCTTACTGAGATGGAGGAAATTCAAGTCCCTAGAGCAAGGAGGTCCTGAAATCCTTGGCTTCTGTGGGAGTGCTGAGCCCCTGTTAGTGATATGGGAGGAATCGTGTAAAATGGGAGGGGGCAGATGGGAAGGGAGCAGTCTGTGAACTCCAGGCCAGTGAACATGGCTTGGATTCCTGGGGAAAGTCTAGAACACTAGATTGATGAAGAAGATGGCCAGTGAACACTAAGAAAGAGAATCCCCCAATCTGGCTCCATCCAAGCACAGATTTTGCCATACTGATTTCATTTCCTTTTTGAACAATCTTACTAAACTAGTAGAGGGAAATTCTGTTGTAGGTAGAGTTCACATAGATTTAACAAAAGTTTTTTATAAAGCCTCTTTTTTGGTGATGAACTGCACAGGTGGGAATAGGGTGATAATTTAATCCATTGGATTCAGAATTAGTTGGATGGATGGATGGACTCCAGGGCTTGGGTGCTTGATCCTGGGCTCTTTAACATTTTTATCAGTGCCTTGGATAAAAGTATACTTGGTAGGTACAAAAAATTTGTAGGTGATACAGAGCAGGGAAGGAGTACTAAAACAGAAGAGATAGGTTGCCAAAGAATCTTGACAGGCCAGAGAGAGCATTGGGCCTAATCTAATTAGATGATCTTCATTAGAAGTGAATGTAAAGCCTTACACTTGGTGTGAGAAATGAGCACAAATATAGATGCATGGATAGCTGGAATGGAATGGAAGCTGGGGCTGTATTAGGAGGGGCATCCCTTTCTGGAAGAGAGAGGTCCTTGGTGGACTTTACCTGGAGTCTGGTGTTCAGATCCGAGTACCACGATTTAATATCACTGATAACCTGGAGAATATACTGAGGAAAGGAGCCAGGATGACCTAGGGCCTCTTGAGTCCAGATTTTAAGCCTGGGAGGGATGGTGGTGGTGTCCTGGACAGATGCTGGGAAGTTAGGAGGGGGTAAGGCTTTAGGGGACAGATAAAGAGTTATGCTTTCTGTATGTTGAATTTAAAATGTCTATAATGGACATATATCTAGTTGGAGATGTAAGACTAGAGGTCAGGAGAGAGGTTAGCACTGAATAAATCTGAGAATTAACTGCATGGAGATAGTTGAATCCATAGAAGTTGATGAGATCACCAAGCAAGGTGATAGTATAGAGGGTGAAGAGCAGAGGGCCCAGGAGATAGCCTTGGGAGATGTCCACGGTCAGTGAAGGTCTCAGGAAGGACACTGAACATGAGCTGATTAGTTGGAACCAGGAGAGAGCAGTGTCATTAAAACCTAAAGAGGAGATTATTTGGGAGGAATAGGTGATTGACATTATCAGAAGTTGCATGCTGAAAGATCAAGGATGAGGACTGAGAAAAGGCCATTGGATTTGGTGATCAGAGATCATTGTTAATTTTGAGGAGAGTTGGTTCAGGTGAATGGTGAGGTCCTGAGCCATACTCAAAAGTTAAGAAGAAATTGAGAGGTGAGGAAGTGGAGGCACAGCTTATAGATGGTTTTCTACAGGAATTTAGCCACAAAAGGGATAAGGATGAAAGCAGGCTGGCACGGAAGGAGCAGGTTTTTTAAGGTGTGTTTGAAGGCAGCAGGGAAGTAGCCAGTAGAAAGGGAGGGACTGAAGATTTGAGACAGTCAGGATGATGGAGGGGCCAGCGTGCTGGAGAAGATGGGGTGGAAATGAATCACTTGTACATAGAGGCAAGGAGTAGGGCTATTTTCATATGAGAGGGGCAAAGGAAGAGAAGGTGGAGGGAGTTCTTGGTGAATGGTTTCAATGAGGCAAATTTTCAGGGGAGAGCCAGGGAAAGAGAAGCCCCGGAAGCTTGGTGCAAAGCCGCTGTGGTGAGTGGGACCATGAGTCCACAAGGGGGGTGTAAAAGCATTGCCTTGCCTGCTCAGGACCCAGTTGAGATGATGTAAGAAATTGATGATAGATCCAGCCAGCAGGTTTTCTCTAGCTTCGTTTAGCTGTATGTGAATAGAAGTGAAGGCACCTGGTGGAAGGAATAATCTAAGATGGTGGCATACAGGGCAAGACAAGGTCTGTGCTAGGACTGGGGGTCAAGGGACTGGAAAGAAGAGACCAATGCAAAGTTGAACTGATTTCATCCCTGGAACGATGGGAGAACAAGGAGGAGATGGCCTAGCAGAGGGATTGGAGGTTGGGGGAGGACCAGGGGAGGTGAGGTAGAGGTAAAAGCTAGCTGTGTTTGGAACTGTGGAGGCTGAGATGTAAAAGGGCAGTTAGTGTGGGACTGCTGCTTGAGGTGTGTAGATCTGGGGGGATCTTCTGTGGAGGAGGAAGGGAAACCAGCATCTCATAAGTGCCTGTAATGTGCCAGGCACTGTGCTAAGCACTTCATACATATTATCTTACTTGATTCTCACAACAACCTGGGATGTAGGTGCTGTTATCCCCATTTTCCAGGTAAGGAAAATGAGGAAGAGACAAGTTAAATAACTTGCCCAGGGTCTGATTTGAACTCAGGTTTTCCTGATTCCAGACTGTGCCACCTACATGCCAAGTATAGAGATGATTTGAATCTCTGGGAGCTGATGAAAATCACCAAGAGGGCTGAGGACCA